AAAAAAAAAACAAAACAAAAAAGAAAGAAAGAAAGAAATTGACAAACCTGCTTTGAACAGGAATTCTCAGCAGACATTAACAGCATGGTGGTTAAGGGTCCTACAGCCAGACAGTCCTGGGTTCAAATTCTGACTCTACTCCTTACATGCTCAGGTGATCTTTGAGCAAGTAACTAAAATCTGAGCTTCAATGCCCTCATTTGTTAAATGGGGATCTAGCAGCTGTGAATATTAAAGGAGTGACTAGCCTACTCCTTTAGAGAGAGAGTGAAAGCTCTCTCTCCCAGCCTCTCTTGAAGCAAGTCAGAATAGGGTAACATTTACTGCCAAGAATCTCTCCAAACCTGGAGGAAGGGAAGGATAGTGCTTTGAGACCATCCGAGCCTGTGGGGTTAATAACGGACTGGCGGTGGCAGGGAGGGAGCAGCAGAGGGCGCTCCTGCAGCAAGTGGGTCAGGCACCAATTGACAAGGGACTCCTGCCCACTGCCAGGAAGAAGAGAACAAGGGCAAATGAATAAACATACATTTCCTCTGCCACTTCCACGTGGCAGGCTCTGTGCCAGGCCCTGAGAAACGCACTGTGCTCCCCACAGGAGGAACCAAAGTTCAAAATCATGACCATAAATCAGTGGCAGGGATAAGAAAAAGGGTGAGGGGAGGCAGTGGGCACTCAATGAATGAGTGAATGAATGAGTGAGGAAGTCAACTATGACACCGAGAGCTGAGTTAGAAGGTCAAGGGTAAACAGATATCCGGAGTGAGGACATGAAGGTAGGAATGACAGTAGCCACAATAGTGACAATATTCTCCGTCCGTGCAGGGTACCGTGCTAAGCAGTATATGTACCTTATCCCCTTGCCTCCGTATTATCATTACCCTCACCTTACAGAAGACACAACCAGGCCCAGATAGAGGTGAAGTACCATAGGTCACACAGCTGGAAGTCACATAGCTGGGGCTAGGTGACGGTGCCTAGCGGCCTAGGGGTTCAGTCCCCTGGTTCTTAGAGGAGCAGGAGCCTGGGCTCACCCTCTGAGCTTCACTGAGCAACTCAAAGTAAGGTTGAGGGAGGCAAGGAAACCAAGAGAGCTGGACAGGCTGGGAGACCCAGGGGCGCAGAATCTGGCATTAGGGCTGAGGGCAGAAGGTGGCTCAGGGCCAGGGCTCTAGTGGCAGCGGGGGACAGACAGGAGACTGTGGTCAGAGGGAGGAAGTGCAGAGTTCCAGGCTAGAGAATAAGAGAGAGAGGGCAAGACCCGAGCTGCTACTGTTTGCACTTGGCTGAGGCCAACCAGACTGTCACTTTTCTCAGCCAGCGTTTCCCAGATTGAGTTCCTTGGAACACTGGTATGAACAGATACTCTGAGAAAACAAGCTTTCAGAGTCACATGAATTTGGGAAACACTGCCCACCCTTCTCTGCTGAATTCACAATTACCAGATTAATGGCTCACTAACGGCTCATTAAAAGCTCAAATTAATCTGGTGGTAAAGAAACCTGCTTCACCCAGTATTTCCCAAACCTATTTGGCTCCACAGGGATCCGAAGGAACTGATGTTCTACAGGAATATACTTTGGAGATCATGAGGGACTGTGTTTAGGTTATATTTACAGCCCAAGTGCCTGGCACATGGTACTGACAGGCAGGGACAGTGGCGGGGGCGTGGCTGCTGAATGGCCAGCAGATGAACAAGCCGGGACAACTGGATGGCTGCACGGGGGTCGGGGCGGTCAGGAGATGACATCTGTAGCCTACGAGAATATGGACACTCGTGAGCGGCTTTACTTCAAGTGCTACAAACTTTTTCTATAATAGGCCAGGCCACAGAGTAAGTATTTTAGCCTTTATGGGCCATATTTAGTCTCTGTCACATCTTCTTTTGTTTTTTTAAATCTTGTCCTTCATAAATGTAAATGCTATTCTTAGCTCACAGGCCACACAGAACAGGCATCTGGCCAGGTCTGGCCCGTGAGCCACAGCGCCAGCCCCTGCTGCGCTCCCACGGAACGCGTCTCTGTGCCGCCACCGCACCCTGTGCTACAAAGAGCTGTGGGAAGGATGGGTGAGCGCGTGCCCAGGTCTACGCAGGAAGCTCTTACTATTCCATAGCTGAAGATGTCCACTCGCTTTGTCAGCTGCCCCACCCTGATGAAATCTTCTGGAAGATATGCGGCTGAGGCCTGGAAAAGGTGGGTCTTCATCATGGTGTACTTTGACCTTTTGTTGACAGGACACAGGTGAGCCAATGGGTGAGCCAGCTTGGGGATGAGATTTTGGTCCAACAAAACATTGGAGCTGTGGAAAAGAAAGCAGAGAGAACCTTCTCATTTTGAGCTAGATAGAGGTTGCCATGGAGACCCTTTTGGGAAACAACTTAGCAGTGGGCAACTTGGTGCCTGCAGGTTGGGGTCACTGAAGACCCTCCACATGGAGTTTCTGAGCCAGCCCTGACAGGGGAGAGGAGGGTCTGTGCCCTCCAGCAAGTGGGGGTGGAGTTAAGATTCAAACTTCCTGCCCCTGGAATGTAGCCAAAGAGGTGCAGCTTCCCTGATCCCCCCAGATGCCAACCCTCATCAGCCTCGGCTTGATCAAGCCCACGGGTTATGCTGGCCTGGCTGACTCAAGCCTAAATGCCAGCATCCTTTGTGGCTGGACCTGCCTAGATCGTGGGGAGTAAGAAAAGCAATAAAAATATCCTTTGGAAAAAAAAAATATATATATATCCTTTGGCCCAGGCGTCTAACACATGGACGTGAACTCTGAGAAAGTACTCCAAAGGAAATTTTAAAAAGCCAAGCTACGTGTGTAAAAATATTCAGTGTAGAACTAACCTCAAACAGGACTTTAAAAATCAGACACCAATTCCAATATCCACTATTAGGAGTGTTAAGTAAATAATGAGCAAATTCCTTTAATGGAAGACAAAGAAGTCACTAAGAAATATGACTGAGTTCATGATAAAAACAAACAAACAAGCAAGAAATAAAAGAACCCATGATGTATGCAATGTGGGGAAATGTTTACCATGTTTAAATGAAGGGGGAAAACACAGAGCATGAATTGGTAATTGGGTAACAGTGCTGCGTTAGGGCTGAGGATTAGCGTGGGCAGGTACTGAAAAAGAAACAAAACGGAGGCTCTGATGAGTCAGGGGGTGGGTCAGCAATGACTTCTTACCTTTCTTGGTATTACAATTGTCAGTGCAGTTAAATAAAAATCAGAGGAGAGAAAAGGGGAAAAGGCCTTCCTTGTGCCAAATGGACAGAGAACTTTGGGGAAGCTTGAGTTCCATGGCTCTGGGGCATTTCTACCAGGTTTTCTGTTATCTTCTGGAATCTTTCCCCCTGCTGCCAGTCCCCAGACAGGCACCTCTCACTCTTGGATGCATGGCGCGGAGATGCTGCCTACCCTGCAGGAAGCCTCCCTGACAAGATGCTAACACCAGCAGATACACAAGCACCAACAGATCCACGAGCAGGGAACAGGTCTCCGAGAAAGCCTGAACAAGGAGCTCAAAAATCCCAGGGGGCGTGGCAAACATGGCTCAAGGCTCAAGGCTAGAGTCCAGGCCAGCCGCCGAGTGGACAGCGAAACGCACCGGAGTGTGGAAGGCTTGTTGGGAAAACAGCATCTCAGAAAGACGATGTGGAGGCAATTCATGCTGAGAGCAATCTGACTCAGAGCACAACACACAAACACTGAGTTTTGAGGGCGTAGCAAAGAAAAAGATACCCAAGGAGTGGAGGGGAGGAGAAAAAAACAAAGAGAAGAGAGACAGAGAGGGGACACAGGAATAGTTCTGGTCCCATCCTTGCAGCCCAGGCCCTCGGTGGGGTCCAGCCCACCTGTCTCACCTCTTGACGTTGCTGTGGATGATCTCCAGGCCATGCAGGTGCTCAATGGCACAAAGCAGCCCCAAGCAGATGCTGACACGCTGGGGCCAGGGGAGAGGGTCTGAGCCACCCTAAGAGAAAGAAAAGGAGAAACAGTCACACCTGTGCCTTTTTAAAGTCCTAATGGCAGGGTCCAGCGCTCCTGTCTCTCCTCCTGCCCTACATGCTCTCTGCAACAGGCTCGGCCAGCAGGATTTCTTGGCATGACACTGTGGGTTTCGACATGAGGCAGGTTGCGGTGTAACTCCCAGTTCAGACGTGCACTAGCTGTGTGACTTTGGAAAAGACACTTAACGTCTCAGAGCCTCAATTTCCTGGGGTATAAAATAGAAACGTCAATTCCTATGTTTTAAGGTAGTTTATAAGGATTCAAGAGAGTATACATAATAGTGCCTGCCACACAGTAGGTACTCACTAAATAGCTTATTTTTTATCATGACTATTACACTGGCAGCTCTGGAATTTCTCCATAGGAGGGGCTGGTTGGAAGCGGAGCTAGGGAGCTTGTGTTTGCACCCCAAGCACATGAGCCTTACACCAATTCTGTGTGTATTAGGGAAACTTCACAGTGCTGATGGGGATTGCAGCATGGGCTAAAGCCTCTAATTTGTCCCCAGGTACTGCCACTGTTGTTCTAAGACTTACTCTCCCAGGCTAAGTCACCACCTATTTTTCGAGCCTTGCCTTAGAAGAACTAGCCTGGACGACTTCTGCTAATAGATTTCTTCTCAAAAACCCTGACATCTAGGCCAGGTGAACCCAATTTAAAGCCCTGGCCTGACACTTGTCAGCTGTGTACCTTTAGGCATGTCACTTTGTCTCTATGTGCCAGAGACTCCTCTTTCGAAAGATGGGGGGAACCTCTTTGGCTGTGGTAAGGCTGGAAGGAGACAATATGTGTAAAGCGCTCACCATGGTGTCATGCACCGAGTGAAGCTCAGAAAAGCTAGTGATGACTAGCGTACCATGAATAACTGCTTTGTCTGGCCCCTGCCAAGGGAAGCAATAATTCTGTTATGGAGTAACTCTTTTCCTCTGAGGATTTTATAAGCAAAAGGTCTGTTTTAAAAATTATAATTTTTAGGCTGGGTGCCGTGGCTTACACCTGTAATCCTAGCACTTTGGGAAGCAACAAGCGGGAGGATTGAGGCCAGGAGTTGGAGACCAGCCTGGACAACATAGTGAGACTCCATCTCTACAAAAAATTAAAAAATTAGCCAAGTGTGGTGGCACATGCCTGTAGTCCCAGCTACTTTCTATAAAAAGAAAAAAATTCATTT